ATAATGTTTCAGCCGTTTCAAACGATGTTGCAAGTGTTTTATCTGGACGTTGCATATGTTGCACTAGCTATACATGTATGTTGCAAGTGTATATTTTAAATATTTGAAACTTATGTTGAAAATGTTTTATCTAGATGTTGCATATGTTGTAGTGTCCATACACACATGTTGCAAGTGTACGTTGTAAATGTTTATGCTTCGGACGTATGTTGCAGTAAATGCTTTTATATTGCAAGTGTTTCAAGAGCAGGCACAACAAAGGGGCGCAGACGAAGGTGGTCCCCTCGGGCGCAGCGGTCCCCGCGTTCGCGTGGGAAGCGAAACGGGTGCGGCATCAGGTGTGGAGCACAGAGTTGCATCCATAAGTGTGGCAGTAGACGTGGAGCACAAAACTAGATTCATGGATGGACAACAAACGTAGAGCACAAAGCTGTATTCATAGGCGAGCAACCGACACGAAGCTACGTTCATATGCGCCATCTTTACTGAAAACACCGGACGGACGCCGCGTCCGCACGTCCGGAGCCAATCTCTCCGTTCTTTTTTTTGATAGTATAGTATCAGCATTAACATTCTGTTCCTTGTATCTAAGACAACACCAAATGTAATTTCCTTTCAAAAAACACACACCGAATGTACTTTTTTTTTTTAAAAAAATGGGGAAACAAAACCCCTCAACTCAAAACCCTACACTCTCCATGGCCTGATTCCCTTCCTCCTCGCCGCCGCCGGAGGGAGGCGGTCAAACGATGCTATCCCTCCCCCTAGGCCGCCGCCACCTCCTCCGCCTCTGCTCTCGCCGGAACCCTACCTTCCTGCGCCTCACCATCGCCGCCACCGCCGCCGCCCTCTCCACCGCCCCTACCGTCGCCTCCGCCGCCGCCGCCACTCCCATCTCCGACCGCCTACGCGTCCTCCGCTCCCTCCACGCCGTCGCCCCTGACCACCTCCTCTCCCACCCGCTCCCCTCCTCCGCGCACGTTTGCCTTGCCGCCCACCTCGCTGCCCGCGCCCGCCTCTTCGCGCACTCCCGCCGTCTCCTCTCCCGCCTGCTTGGTGCTGGCCACCGGCCCCACCTCGCCGCCTCCCTCGTCGACCTCCTCCACCGCGCGGCCCTCTCGCTGGGGCCCCGCCGCAGCGCGCTATCGTCCGTCGTCGACACCCTCCTCTCCCTGCTCGCCGACCACAGCCTCCTCGACGACGCCGTCCGCGCCCTTGCCCGCCTGCGGCAGCTGCAGGTGCCCCCGAACACCCGTACCTGCAACCACATTCTCCTGCGCCTCGCCCGCAGCCGCCAAGGCGGGCTCGTCAGGCGGCTCTTCGACCAGCTGCCCGCGCCCAACGTGTTCACGTTCAATATCGTGATTGATTTTCTGTGCAAGGAGGGAGAGCTTGTGGAAGCGAGGGCACTGTTCGTGAGGATGAAGGCGATGGGCTGCTCGCCGGACGTTGTCACTTACAATTCTTTGATTGACGGGCACGGCAAGTGTGGGGAGCTGGAGGAGGTGGAGCGGTTGGTGTCAGAGATGAGGAAGTCTGGATGTGCAGCTGATGTTGTGACGTACAATGCATTGATCAATTGCTTTTCCAAATTCAGGAGGATGGAGAAGGCGTACAGCTACTTTGGGGAGATGAAGAGGCATGGAGTGATGGCAAATGTGGTTACATTTAGCACTTTTGTTGATGCATTTTGCAAAGAAGGGTTGGTCCGGGAGGCAATGAAGCTGTTTGCACAGATGAGGGTGAGGGGGATGATGCCAAATGAGTTCACTTATACTTCATTGGTCGATGGCACTTGCAAGGCAGGGAGGCTAGGTGACGCCATTGTATTGCTTGATGAAATGGTGCATCAGGGGTTGGTGCCAAATGAGGTGACATACACTGTTATGGTCGATGGCCTTTGCAAAGAGGGCAAGGTTGCTGAAGCAGATAATGTTTTGAGTCTGATGGAGAGAGCTGCTGTTAAAGCCAACGAGTTGCTCTACACTACGCTGATCCATGGGCACTTCATGAATAAGAACAGTGAGAGGGCTCTGGGTTTGTTGAATGAGATGAAGAATAAAGGAATGGAACTGGATGTCTCTCTCTATGGCACTCTCATTTGGGGTCTCTGTAAAGTTCAAAAGGTGGATGAAGCTAAGAGCCTCTTACATACAATGGATGGCTGTGGTTTGAGACCTAATAATGTCATTTATACGACAATAATGGATGCCTTCTTTAAAGCTGGAAAAGAGTCAGAGGCCGTTGCCTTATTCCACAAAATTCTGGATTCTGGGTTCCAACCTAATGTTGTTACTTATTGTGCATTAATTGATGGATTGTGCAAAGCAGGATCAATCTCCGAGGCCATCTCCCATTTTAATAAAATGAGAGAGTTAGGCCTGGATCCAAATGTACAAGCTTACACCGCCTTAATTGATGGTTTTTGCAAGATTGGTTCCTTGAATAAGGCTGTGCACTTGATGAATGAAATGGTTGACAAGGGTATGTCTCTTGACAAAGTTGTGTACACATCTCTTATTGATGGGTACATGAAGCAGGGAAATCTCCAGGATGCCTTTGCACTCAAGTCCAAGATGATTGAAAGTGGTTTGCAACTTGATCTCTATTGCTACACTTGTTTTATCTCGGGCTTCTGTAACATGAATATGATGCAAGAAGCTAGAGGAGTTCTTTCAGAAATGATTGGGGCTGGCATTATTCCTGATAAGACGGTTTACAACTGTCTGATAAGAAAATACCAGAAATTGGGAAACATGGAGGAAGCCTCAAGTCTTCAGAATGAAATGGAAAGTGGTTTAAGCTTTTGCACAGAAGATGATACTGCTTCTGGTTCTGGTTGTGAAACCTGATCTTGCGGTTGTACATGGTATAAAGGGTCAGTTTTTCTTTTCTTTTGATATAGTATCAACATTTCGGCACTCTCCCCGTGCAGAAATTTATTGCAAGTAATTAATTACATATTCCTCTCGGATTACAATCCTGAATCCTGCCTTGTGCTTGGGGTTGTTTTACTTACTAGGAGCTGGCCGGCCTTGGGGCGCGTGGCAAGCAACATCTGGAGAATCGGGCCGCCATGAAGCACAAACTGCTCAAGGTTACAATCCCTGCCTGCTACACTGCTTATGCGTTCACATTCCACGCTCTAGCTAGTCCTGGCAGAAACTGTAATTGTGTGGCAGTATGGTGCATTTTTGTTTGTGTTTTATACAGTATGTCAGAGAAAGACAGCAATCAAGTTGAATCCTTTCTTGCTGGCTGCTTTCGGAGAGAAATTAAGCTACTCGCCTCTGCTGATTTAGTGTGTTCATGCGCCTCGCGCAAGCACGTGCTGTGCGGACGTCTGCTGCTGTATGTGTGCTGTGACGCTTAACAACCTACCGCCTCCGTCTCCATTCTCAAGTCGCTATTCTTGGAGTGGGCGGAGGTGGCAACCCAAAATTGTTTCTCTCATCATGCCTTGACATGCCATGCCTCAGTTTGCTATTCTTGGAGTAGGTGGCAACCCAAAATTGTTTCTTTCATCATGCCTTGACAAGTTGACATGCATGCCTCTGATGAAATGTACACAAAATTGCTGTTGCTGGCAAGATGCCCTCTTGCTGTACCTTCTTCTCTTTTTTTGGAGACAATTTGGTTTGCCTTGTTATCTATTTTCTGTAGCCACCTTTGTGTCAATAAGGGGCGTACCCAGTGCAGAGAGCTCCCCCTCTGTGTGGGGTCTAGGGAAGGGTGTCAGTGGCAAGCCTTACCCTCGCCTGTGCAATGCGAGGAGACCGCGACTCGAACCCGGGACCTTCCGGTCACAGGCAGTAAGACTCTACCGCTTGCACCAGGCCCGCCCTTCTCCTTTGTGTCAATCCATAGCTGAATTTAAAGAGTGGACACCACATACTCTTACATATCCTCTGAGTTAACAGTGTTTCACACAATATATTGTTTCAGTATTAAGTAGTGATATCAAAATAGATCAATTGGTTGTGGTGCAGTGTGGCCAATGCTGGTGATGAAACTTTGCTCAAGTCTGCAAACTGTGCACAACTATCTAGCTAGATGGATCACTTTGTCACATTGACGTTACCTGGCTCACCTAAAAGGCTAAAACCATCATCAGGAGCCTGCTGTACTGAAATTTCTGATGGTTTCTTTTCAATCTTGACTAACCTCCTCTCTTTTCTGACTGTGTATCCAGGATGTTTCCAACAAGGTGTCTGGATCTAATGGGATTTTGGCTGAGAGATCTATAGATCAAAGTGTAATAAGGATCTATCAAATCAAAAGCAAAGCTTAAGGGTGCTTTTTCTCTTTAATTGGACTAAACAATGACACTTTCAAAAGTAAAGGTAAGCATTAGGAGAGTACAAACAGCGAGACATTGCTATCATCCATCGAACTGTAGTCAGTCGTGTTTCAGGACCTCGTACTCCCAAAAGGTATCAATTGAAGGACTTGTCAAAACTGCAACCTCTTATTTTTCTTACATTTTAGGATTCGGCAGTCTGCAGCTCTTCATTTTTCATATTTGAAAAATTAGTCGAGTAGCCTCAAGGGCTTGTGGTGCCCAAAATGGTGAGCTCAGTTTGTTGCGCTTTTATTGACGTGACCATTTAATCACTGGGGCTTCGCAGTCAATAATTTTCATGAATATATACAGTAAACACAAATGTGATGATAGGAACATTGGTGTCCCTCAGTTTGGCATCAGTAATAATCTTGTGCTTTGCTTCTATGGGTTGAACTTCCAGTGAGATTTTACAAATAAAGTTGATAGGCTACATTTTGCACATTCACATATGCTAGTAAGATGGTTTTCTTTCTAAGTAGTAAATACTTTAAATCAGGTAACAATGCATGTTGTGGTGCAATGCAATGTGCAGTTGTGTTCCCTTAAACATACTGTATGTTTTTTTTTCACCTTCTATAAGATTTACCCATGATTCCATGGTAAAGAAGTTAGTGAAGAATTTTGTATTGACTCTGAGCTTTTTAGGTCCTGGGAGATGTACAAGGAGGTCATGGTACCACTCAGACATTTAAGGACGTATTGATAAAGTATTACTTAGTGGTGAAATTAGTGTTGCATATAATGTTTTACAATATTTATCAGTTAGACATAACGATATATGTATATGTATTTGTTGTTAGTTATTTTGAAAACCTCTTGTTGTGAAGGCCAATCTTAATTAGTTCAAGTATTGCCACACAGTTTTCAAAGTTGGTGCAGGATATGACTCCTGTGCTCTTGAGAGGATCTGTGCTTTCAGAACAGAGTCGTCTTCAGTTTTTTTTTTGTTTTCTATCATAGGAAACTTAATTTGTTTTGTGACAGGATCCTACTGTTAATGGGAAAGAGAACCATGGTCAAGAGGCAGTGCATGAGGAGAATACCAAGTCCTGTGAACATGAATATGGAAGTTACTGCCTCTGGTCTACTGAACATAGGGAAGTAATGAAGGATGCCATTGTCAAGAGGCTTAATGATCAACCTTTTATGGAAAGAGCTCATTATCCTAGTGTTGCAAAATTGAAGCAACAGGAAAGATTTACATGTGAACTGAAGCAAAACATCCAAGAGCTTGAACGCATGCTGAGTGACACCATCACAGATGCTGATCTTCCACCATTGTTAGTCTCGTCTTAGCTTTAAAATCATATGTGTTTTTTCTTTGTTTTTCATATAACCTTTTGCACTAAATAAATGAATTATATGTTGCTAGTGCAATCCATTAACTTGGCTTTGTTTCTTGTCTTAGTTCTGTGTCTGCATTTCTTCAAGCAATAAAGGATGAGCATACACAATTATGATGTTTGTGACTTAATTGTGATAAAATAATGCACCTGCAATATCTTTTTTAAAAAATTATATTCTCAAAATATTTCTGGTGGCAATGACTGGTTACTCTTTTCAGTCTTGCAGAGAAGCTGGGGAAGATGGAGCACACAATTGAGCGAGCCGAGTCTTGTGAAGTAGGATGCTCGATTGTTGAACGGAAACTTAGGCAGCTACTTGATATAACCGTGAAACTGGGGGAGAGAGAGTTTGAGAGAGACGGCTACACTGGCACGGCATGTGCACGTGTACAAGGACCATCAACGTCATGTTTACTTGGCTTATAAGCTATATTTTTTATCTAATGAATAGTATTTTTCTCTCACAACAAATCAGTTAACAGTATTTTCAGTCATGACTTATTAGCAAACGAACAGAGGACGTCAAGTAGATCCACAAATGCTGCCAAAAAAGATCACAGTAGCCAGTAGACGCAGTAAAACCGTAGCATGCTAGTTGGATGAAGATGTTTACAGTTGTCCTCTTATAGATTTTTAGACTTTTGGGCACTTTGAAATGCAGCGGTTTCATAAAACTCGTATATCGGTATATGAATTTCACAAGAATAAATTTATGTTTATAGGACAAACATATAGGGGGGATGAGACGTTTGTGCTAGTCGAACTTATCAAAGCCAAGGCTGGAGAGACCAAGCACCTGCCGCCCAAAAAAAAGAGCAACCAACCCTTAAACTAGGGCTGCGCACGACTCAATACTACTAGTCGCTTCTCCCTTTTCTTTTATACATGATAGTGAATGAAGAATCATACTTTGACCTATTGAATTTTTATGACTTGCACAATCATACTTCTCCGTCCCATATTAAAGGATGTTTTAGAATAACTCATGAAAATCAACGTTCCAATAGACTAAAATACCCCTCACGGAATAGAGATAGAGATCCATGGTAAAAGAGAATGTACATTAGAAAAAGAGAGGGTCAAGTATTTTGAGACAAAATTTAAATACAATAGAATCATCTGTTTCAGGGGTGGAGGGAGTACGTACCAACGATGCTGAGAAATTTAAGTATTTTATAGGATAAAATTTGAATGTCATAAGATCATCTATTTTGGATGCGGAGGGTGTACGCATCAATGCTGTTGAAGAATAATATGCACCATTATGTTTGACGAGGGATAGATACTACTCGCTCCGTTTAAAAAAAGTGCAATTCTCGCTTTCCGATAAGTCAATCAGTTTAAATTTTAACCAAAATTATATAAAAAAATACTAACATTCTTGATGCAAAATTAGTATCATTAGATTAGCCATAGAATATATTTTTATAATAAATTATTTGGAGACATAAATATTAATACTATTTTATACAAATTTGGTCATGAGCTATTTTGATTGGCATGGATCCTATAATTGTATTCTTTTTACGAGCGGAGGTGTACCTTCGTATCTAAATAAACCGATTTTATATTTGTCTTAAGTTGAATATTTTTATGTGTAATTAAATTTATAGAAAAGAGCATAAATATTTATAGCACCAAATGATGATATTATGAAAATATATTATATATTATATCTAATCTAATGATGCTAATTTAATGATCTTAATGTTTTTCCTATAAGTTGAATTAACTTTAAAAGTATTTAGTTTATGATAACTCCAAAAACTGATTATACAGAGAAGAGGGAGCAAAAAAACAAAACAAAAGAAGAAAGTTTAAACGAGAGTTTGACGAGCTGTCCCTGTATTTTTTCCCGTCGGCACGAAACAAAGGATGGAAAAAGGACGGCAGAGACTGGGGATGGTCTTGTTTAGTTTCCCCTTAAAGCTAGCTCCTATCATATTGTATGTTTGAATACATGTATAGAGTAATTAATTGTACAGATTTAGACTAATTTGTGAGATAAATTTTTTAGTCTAATTAGTTCATGATTTGACAATGTGGTGCTACCGTAAACATACGCTAATGATGGATTAATTAGACTTAATAAATTCGTCTCGCGGATTGATGACGACTCCTGTAATTTGTTTTAGGGGGTATTTGATGTAATGACTAAAATTTAGAAGATATCGCATGAAGATGTCGTATAAGGTGTTCGGATACTAATAAACATCCCTTATTATTACTATCAGAAAACTTGACGTGACACCTCCACGTGATATTCAACGTAACATCCTAAACTTTTAGCACCTGGGCCTTGTTTAGATTGTAAGTTTTTTCACTCTTTCTTCATCACATCAAATCTTTGGACACATGTATGGAGTATTAAATATAGATAAAAAATAACTAATTACACAGTTTGATTATAAATTACGAGACGAATATTTTGAGCCTAGTTAAGCTATGATTAGACAATAATTATCAAATACAAATGAAAATGCTACAGTACCAAAGACTGAATCCACCTCAATCTAAATAAGGGCCCTGGGTTCAAGCATCCAGGCCATGTTTAGATTGTAAAAAATTTCAACCCGATGAATAGTAGCACTTTCGTCTTATGTGGTAAATATTGTCCAATCGTGGACCAACTACAATTAATTATTTTTTTTACCTACATTTAATATTTTATGCAAACAGCTAAAAATTGACGTGATGAAGAAAAAGTGAAAAAACTTGAAATTTAGAGGTGATCTAAACAAGGCCCCAAAACGCGTCCAAAGCAAAACTGCAAAAGCAGACGCGGGCCCTGGACGGTCGGCCGGCGGGCTCCACTGAGGCCGCTCCCGCTCCTCTCCGGCTCTCCTCCCTCACCCTCAGCCTTCCTTCCCACCAGTCTCCCACTCTCCAGTCTTCACTCCACTGATGCCTGGTGCATAGCGGCGCGGCGCGGGGGCTGGCTGGTTGGTTCCAGACAACGCCGCTGGCTTAAACGCGCGAGGCCCGAGGAAGCTTTAGCTTGTTTCTTGCAGTTAATGCGGGAAGCAACTGCATTACCACCATCCCTCACCACCAGACCCAGCACTGACCTCCCGGCTCCGGCCCCGGCTGGCGGCAGCGCTCCGTTGAGGAGCACTGGAGCAGAGCAGAGCAGGTGCCAGTGCCACTAACACGGCCACGGCCACGGCATGAAGGGGCACCAGCACCAGTCGTCCTCTCCGCTGCTGCTGCCGCCGCCCAGCAAGCGCCGCTGCAGCGGGCTGGCGGCGGCCGTGCCGGCGCTCGTCGTCTGCTCCACGCTGCTCCCGCTCATCTACCTCCTCGTCCTCCACCGCCCTGCCGGTGCGTCCGCCCCTCGGATCTGTCGTCTCCCCCTCCCTTTTCTCGCTGATCTTCTAACCCTCCGCGTGTCGCGTTGCGTGCTCCGTGTTGTGTTGTTGCTCGCAGCAGGATATGGATCGGACGACCGCGCCGCCGTGGTCATCAGCAACGTAAGCTTCTCCACTCTCCCCGTGCAGAAATTTCTTATTTTTTTTTATTAATTACACCGTCCTCAAAGAAGTTTAGCAGAGTCCTAGCTTCTGAAATCCTCACGCCTTGGTTGTGCTTGGGGTTGCTAGGAGCTGGCCGGCGTCGGGGCGCGTGGCATGCGGCATCTGGAGAATGGGGGCGCCATGAAGCACAAGCTGCTCAAGGTTACAATCCCTGCCTGCTACACTGCTGACTGCTCAAGAGGCAGTGCAGTGGTGGAGCATTTTGTTTCTGTGTTTTATATGTCAGAGACAGTGATCAAGTTGAATTCTTTTTTTTTTTTTTTTTGCCGGCCCGCATTCGGGGAGAAATTAATTAAGCTACTCGCCACCTCTGCTGATTTTAGTGCGTTCATGCGGCTCGCGTGCGTGTGCGCGTGTCGTGCGGACATCCGCCGCTGCGTGCGTGCTGCCGTGCTGTGACGCTTAACAACCTACCGCCTCTGTCTCCATTCTCAAGTTGCTTTCTTTAGAATAGGTGGAGGTGGCAACCCGAAATTGTTTCTCTCGTCACGCCTTGACATGCCCATGCCTCAGTTTGCTATTCTTGGAGTAGGTGGGTGGCAACCTAAAATTGTTTCTTTCATCATGCCTTGACATGCCATGCCTCTGATGAAATGTACACAAAACTGCTGTTGCTGGCAAGATGCCCTCTTGCTGTACCTTCCCAATTTGATTTGCCTTGTTATCTATTTTCTGTAATCACCTTTGTGTCAGTCCATAACTGAATTTGAAGAGTGGACACGAAATATTTATTTCTTACATATCCTCTGAGTTAGCAGTGATTCACTAAATATATATATTTTTTCAGTAGTAACTACTGAAATCAAAATAGATCAATTGGTTGTGTGCAGTGTGGCCCAATGCTGGTGATGAAACTTTGCTCAAATCTGCAAACTGCTGCACAACTATCTAGCTAGATGGATCGCTTTGCCACGTTGACGTTTCCTGGCTCACCTAAAACCATCATCAAGAGACTGCTGCACTGAAATGTCTGATGTTTTCTTTTCAATCTTGACTGACCTCCTCTCTTTTCTGACTGTGTATCCAGGATGTTTCCAAAAAGGTGTCTGGATCTAATGGGATTTCGGCTGAGAGATCTACTAGATCAAAATCTACCAAGGATCATGCTATCAAATCAAAAACAAAGTTCAAGGGTGCTTTCTCTTTAATTGAACTAAATAATGACACCTTCAAAAGTAAAGGTAAGCGTTAGGAGAGTACAAACAGCGTGAGATGTTGCTAGTATCCATCTTACTGTAGTCAGTCGTATTTCAGGACCCCGTACCCCCAAAAGGTATCAATTGAAGGACTTGTCCTGGAGTTCAAAGGTAACTGCAACCTCTTATTTCCCTACATTTAGAATTCAGTAGTCTGCAGCTCTTCATTTTTCATATTTGAAAAAATAGCGAGTAGCCTCAAGGGCTTACCATGCACAAAATGGTGAGCTCAATTTGTTTTGCTTCTATTGACGTGACCATTTATCACTGGGGCTTCATAGTCAACAATTTTCATGAATATATACATTAAACACAAATGTGATGATAGGATTATTGTTGTCCATCAGTCTGGCATCAGTAATAATCCTGTATGTTGTTTCTGTGGGTTCAACTTTCAGTGAGATTTTACAAATAAAATTGATTGGCTACATTTTGCACATTCACATCTGCTAGTAAGATAGTTTTCTTTATAAGTACTTTAAATCAGGTAACAATATATATTGTGGTGCAATGCAATGTACAATTGTGTCCCTTAAACATACTGTATGTTTTTTCACCTTCTATAAGATTTACCCATTATCTAAAAAAAAAGATTTATCCATTATTCCTTGGTGAAAAAAGTTACTGAAGAATTTTTTATCTACTCTGCGCTTTTTAGGTCCTGCAGAGATGTACAAGGTCATAGTACCACTCAGACATCTAAGGGACGTATGATCAAGTATTCCTTAGTGGTGACATTAGTGTCGCATATAATGTTTTACAATATTATCAGTTAGACATAACCATACATGTATTTGCAATTAGTTCTTTAGAAAACCTCTTGTTGTGAAGGCCGAGTGTAATTAGTTCACATATTACCACAGCGGTTTTCGGGTTGTTGGTGCAGGATATGACTCATGTGCTCTTATGAGGATCTGTGCTTTAAGAACAGGGCTGCCAATTTTGTTTTTACTAGTGAATCCTTCAGAATCCTTTTTTTTTTTTTTACTTTTCTACCACAGGGAACTTAATTGGTTTTGTGACAGGATACAACTGTTGATGCGAAGAGAACCATGGTCAAGAGGCGGTGCATGAGGACAATATCAAGTCCTGTGAACATGAATATGGAAGTTACTGCCTCTGGTCTACTGAACATAGGGAAGTAATGAAGGATACCATTGTCAAGAGGCTTAAGGATCAACTTTTTATAGCAAGAGCTCATTATCCTAGTGTTGCAAAATTGAAGCAACAGGAAAGATTTACGTGAACTGAAGCAAAACATCCAAGAGCATGAAGCGCATGCTGAGTGACACCATCACAGATGCCGATCTTCCACCATTGTTAGTCTCACCTTAGCTTTAAAATCATATGTGTTTCTTTATTTTTCATATAACCTTTTGCACTAAATAAATGAATTATATGTGGCCAGTGCAATCCATTAACATGACTTTGCTTCTTGTCTTAGTTCTGTGTCTGCATTTCTTCAAGAAATAAAGGATGAGCATACACAATTATGATGCTTGTGACTTAATTTCGATAAAATGATGCACTGCAATGTCTTTTTTTATTTCTCAAAATATTTCTGGTGGCAATGACTGGTTACTCTTTTCAGTTTTGCAAAGAAGCTGGAGAAGATGGAGCACACTATTGAGAGAGCCAAGTCTTGTGATGTAGGATGCTCGAATGTTGAACGGAAACTTAGGCAGCTACTTGATATAACTGAAGATGAAGCTTATTTCCATACAAGGCAGAGTGCATTTCTATATCATCTTGGGGTCCAGACTACGCCGAAAACTCACCATTGCTTGAACATGAGATTGACAGTAGAATATTCATACTTGGAGGCAACTGTTTGTGTAACTTACATTGAGGACAACCAGAAGCTCTCTAAGGATGTAGATTCCCTTGAGATGCAACAATTATGGCCTGCAGAGGAATTTCGTGTCACAATTCTTAATCATTCTGAACCTTCCCAGAGGCAGATGAAAACTGAGTACATATGTATTTTCGGCCATTCAAGTTTCCTCTTGCCTGACCTTCCTACCTTGAACAGAGTAGTTGTTCTGGACGATGATTTGATTGTGCAGAAAAAAATGTTATCTTTGTGGAACCTTGATATGGGTAGTAAAGTGATCGGCGCTGTCCAGTTCTGGTGAAGTGAGATTAGGGCAGTTGAAACCATAGCAGACCATAATGTCAATACTAATTCATGTGTGTGGTTGTCTGGCCTGAATGTCATTGAATTGGATAAATGGAGGGACACCGGCATTACCAGTTTGTATGATTAATCGCTCTAAAAGGTCAGTAGAACTCACCATTCACATTGAATTATCAATTGCTGTCTCATGAAAATCTGTGGTTTCCATGTAGTATCCCCCAGTCCTATCCTTTTGCTATAATTTCCTTGTCTTATGTCTAAAGGCAGCTGCCATGTGATCTATTAACATCGCTTTTTTGCAGTTGCGAAAGAACAGCCTGAAATCACAGCGACCGCAAGCACTCGCTGCAAGTTTACTTGCCTTTCAAGTTCTAGTATATCCTTTGGAAGATTCATGGGTTCAATCAGGCCCTGGACATGATTGTGGAATCAGTTATGTCAATATAGAAAAGGCTGCTACTCTGCAGTATAATGGTGTGATGAAACCTTGGCTTGACTTGGGGCTGCATGATTATAACTTATAAGAGCTACTGGCAGAGGTACATGACTAGTGCCTAATGGAGAGAAGTTCATGACCGAATGCAATATTCACTAATTAATTGGACATGAAATGCACCAAACACTCATTTTTGGGCATTTGAACCACAGATTTCATGGGTTTTGCTTAAATGATGAGGTTATCATGAAAATAAACAGAATTGCTCCTGGCCTGCAGTTTCTATGATGACTCAAGCACACCCCTGTTGAGGCAGTGCTCAAAGACCAAAAGGAGAATAGGATGAAATACTTTCTGCACAAACTGACAATGTAGCCATAACAGCGTGAAACCTATGAATTATGATTTTTTTACCAAGATGTAATATACATTATTTCACACTATTCATCAAGTTTTGATGATTTTTTTTTTTCCATATGCAGCTTGGCACTGCAAAAGTGCAGTTCCTTGCTGCGCATTTTTGGTATAAAATCGTTGGTGCTATTCTTTTTGCTCACTGTGCAAGAGCAATAATGAGGGAGTCCAATGTTGACTGCGGCACAGCATGCACAGTACAGGAAACAGCAAATGATACTTGCTTGTAATTCTTAGCAGCAAGGCTTGCATTTGTTACTGTTAGATGTTGATAGCCCATTGGCGACATAACAAATGGGTCTGTTCTGCTCAATGGCATTCTTTTTTTATTTTGTGGATTTATTAGGTTCCTTTTGTTGTCAAATCTCAGAAAGGTGAGTGCCGGGCTTGCTTGACATAGCTACTGACTTTTTGGAGCGGCGCATCACATCGGCCTTGCTAACAGTTTTATTTTATAAGCTTTATTAGTTATCGTCTTAATAAATACACTAGGTAGTAGTAAAATTTGCATATAGGAGATCGTTTTTGTTGTCCAAAACGTTGCACATTTACAAATGAACGGAGTAGGAAGTAATTAACCCTACTCCAAAATTTGCTTTGACCAATGAAAGCCTCCGACGTCCAAGCAAGATTGCGTTTGATGTTAGTCACTGAACCTGCTCGATTGCCTCAGCGTGTCGATCTATATATATACAGCCCAGATTGTGACAGTATGTAACAGAAATGGTGGGCCCCACCCAGAGAGGGGTACCAACAGTGATGTTATATGCCTTTTCTAATCCCGAATGTCTGCCCATTATATTACGGTAATGCTATATGTCTGGCGTCCGACGCGCTTCTTCACCTCTGGACGCGGCTCACGCTCCTCCCCTCGCTCCCCTCGCCTTATCCTCATCCACCTGCCCCACGTCGCTTAGCCCGCTCCATACGGAGACGCTCGCCGCCGCTCCCTCCCGAGCCGCTCGCGGCGACGCCCCGCCTGAGCCGTGCGTCCCCCGCCCGTCGCCCCTCCCTCCTACCGCGACCCCCATCCCACTGGAGAGGAGGGCGATGGTGGCGGCTTCCGGCGAGCCGCCCCTCTCTCCCTCCCCCCTCCCTCCTTCCCTCCGCGACCTCCATGTCACCGGAGAGGAGGGCGATGGCGGTGGCTTCCGGCGAGCCGCCCCTCCCTCCGTGACCTCCATGCCACCAGAGAAGAGGGCGACGGCGGCGGCTCCCGACGAGGTAGGTGGGTCCTTCTTTGGATCTAAGCCGTCCTCCTCCACCTCCTTCTCTGGATCTGAGCCCTCCTACTCCTCCTTCCCCTCTAGATCTAAGGGATGCGGCGGTGGCTAGGGTTCCGACGAGCTCTCGGGGTCAGATCTCGCCGTGTTGCAATGGTTTTTTTATGTTGCAACAGATGATTTCGAATGTTGCAATGGGATTTTTTTGGGTTATTGCAACAGATGTTTTTGCGATGTTGCAGTAGTACTGCTTGAGATGTTGCAATATGTTTTCAGTTGCTTCAATCTCATGTTGCAGTAATTGATCCATGTTGTTGCAAGTATTTTTATTTCGAGCGTTTGTTTCATATGCATCACACCAGTGTTGCAATAATATGTTTTAAATGTTTCAGCTCCTTCAACCTATTGTTGCAGCAGTTGGTTCGGTGTTGTTGCAATAATATGTTCATGGTGTTTCAGTTGTTGTTCCTTGTTGTTGCAATAATATGTTCATAGTGTTTCAATTGCTTCATCCCAATGTTGCAACTGTTTGCTCCTTGTTGTTGCAATATATATGTTTCATGGTATTTCAGCTGCTTCAGCCTAATGTTGCAGTAGTTGTTTTCGTGTTGTTGCACGTGTTTTTATTCCAGCTTTCTATGTTGTTTGGCCGGAGAGGGGCCAGCCGGGACGGACGGGGGCGCGTGGTTCGCTGGGGCCTAGCGGGCGGAGGTGCTGGGGCCGGCGGACGTGGGGGTGATGTGGCCATGGGGGGCGCTGGGCATGCAGCATGCTCATCGCGTGCGTGGGGCGGACGCGACAGGCTACGGGGTGATCTGGGGGCGTGCGGACTCGCGTGACACAAAGGCCAGCGTGGCTCTTCGTAGGCATCGCGGGTCGCAGGTTCGTCGGTGTTAGTGGGGCTCTTCGTTCGACGAAGACGCAACAGCGGCAGTTCGCGCGGGCGCGCGATCTCCGGGCGGCGGCGTCGGTCCATACTGCTGCCCCGGCCTCGTACCATCGCCAGCGGGTCCGCTCCTTGCGCGCGTCACCGGGGGTGTGCTGGTAGCGTGCAGTGTGGAACTAGGGAAGGGGCGCGCGCTGGGGGAGGGCGGACTGGGAAGCGGACGAGGGGGGTCGAGCACTGAGGGGCGTTCAGACGCTAGCACCCGGATCGGACGTCCGGACGCTAGCAGTTCCCATTATATTAGCTTCGACTAATCATATCGTCTTCGCACAAATTTCAAAAAGGCATGCTAAAGAACTAGAGAAAACCTAGAAATGTCCATAGAAAAGGCAAAGATCTTCTTGCTTCTAAATTACCCACTTATATATACCATAATATAGCCCTGTAAATATATACATTGGATACCTAGACTGGATTCGCTCAAAACTTCTAGCCCGCCGAAAGATCTAGAGTGAGGAAAGTGACAGACTTGATCCTTCAAAATCCAAGGGGCTGGAACGAATCCCCAATAAGGAAAACGTTCCTTTTTCACGAAGCTGGAGAAATTCTCAATGTTAGAATTCCAGATAATGAGGGTGATGACATTCTTGCTTGGCATTTTGAAAAGAACGGCATCTTCTCTGTTAGAAGTGCATACAGACTTGTTATGGAAGACAGATTCAGAAACTCTTGTGATACTAGCACCTCTGCAGACAGGAATTTTTTTGATGCAATATGGACAACCCCTGTGCCGCAAAAAGTAAAAATCTTCATATGGAAATTGGCCCGTAATGGTCTGGGTGTCCAATCAAATAGACTGAGCCACCACCTGATCCCATATGCAACCTGCTCTATTTGTGGTATGGAACCTGAAAATGGACACCATGCTATGGTTCACTGTACTTTTGCCTCTTCACTGAGACATGCTCTACGCCGGTCATGGAGCCTTCCTGATGACCCGGCCTTTATGTATACTGGACCTGACGAGAGAATCATGTATTTGGTACTAAAACAAATTAGTCTTTCATATTTGGCACTAAAAAATTTAAACTTTTTTTTATCTAGCATTAAGTTAAAATTTCCTTCCCTACATAGCACTGCTGTTCATTTGGGCTAGTAACGACGTCAAGTGGATGGTAAAACGACATGAATGACCTTCTTTGTAGCAGAAATACATGATGCCAAATAGAAAAATAATAGATGGACAGGTTGTCAAATAAGAAAATTATAAATATCACAAATATATTGTGAACTAAAACATGGGATTTTGATAATCGAAGTCTACAAATAAATAAATAATAAATTTCAAATTCTAAGGCAAGAGCAGGTCCTGCTGGGGTAGCCTTAGCACGGGAGGGATTTGCCCTGTCTAGTTAGCTTGGTCAAAAATTGTTTGATGCAGTTTAGTAGCTCGCTCGTCTCAGTTTGGTCAATCCTATATTCTTTTCAGATCATCGCAAGACATGAAGACAACAACAAACATATATTTCTCCACAAATGCTTAGAATAGTACAGGCTTGAGCATCTGGTGTCACAACCAATCATCTAGAGTTCTCCACAATTGAACATCAGAAGTATACAGGTACTCATATTTCTCGCTCAATCACCAAAACTACGAATTATTCAATAAAGGACTTCGCTGGGAGCACTGCTTGTCTTCCCAAGCTGTTGGATGATGCAGCCAGCTGAACCGGGTTAGCACAAAAAAAAGCATTGCAAATCTCAAAAATAACAAGTGCAAGAAAACTCTATCCCGTTCCAGATCCAAGAACATGCCCCCGCAATCCTCCTGATCTGGCCTGGGGAGGCTGCCCCGTGGCCTGTGTGCCGGGAGCCGCCACCGCGCCGCCTCTGCCCCGCTGCTGTCTGGCCGGAGGGGCCGCGCCGCCTCCGCCACGCCGTGGGCTGGCCGGAGCGCCGGCCCGCGCCAGCCCCGCCGCCGCGACCGCGCCACGGCCTGGCTCCGCCGGGTAAGGTCGTAGCGCAGCTGGTGCTGGGCG